AAAAAAAAAAAAAAAAAAAAAAAAAAAATGCAGTAGAAACTTTTAAGTGCAAATAATTTAGCTTTTAACAAGCCTGACTAAAATAAATGACAGGAGAGAATGGCCCCAAAGAGAGAGTTACTGTTCTGCTCAGAATAATGTCCTCCAGCCCCAAATGTTAAATTCTTTCCACACTTTCCTTCCTTAGGTTAGACCACCTCTTTTTTTTTTAAAGACCACCTCTTTTCATAGCCAATGGCCTACCCTGTACTGCTGCACTTCTTCATCTCGCTTTTGCCTCACAAGCGTGATCTGGTCCTCCAGGTTCCTTTTTTGCAGGTGGAGCTGCTGGGCCTCTGCTTGCAGGGGTCTCAGAGCCTCCTTCATCTCCTGGATCTCGGCCTGGGTTTTCTGCAGAGCTTTGGTCCCCGCTTCTTTCCTCTCCAGGAGCCGCAGTAGCTGAGGCTCATATTCCTCCTCCAGGCTCTGGCGGTTCTCTGCCATAAGATGTTCAAACTGGGCAGACAGCTGCCGGCTCTCCTGGAGAAAGTGCCCATCCCTCTGGCTTGGAGGCGCTTCTAGTTGTTGTCTTAACTGCTCCTTCTGCTTCTGATAGGCATCCTGGAGTTGGGCCAGTTCCCCAGACAGCTGGGCTGCCTTTGTGTTCAGCACTTCCCGGAAATCAGTGAACTGAGCCACATCCTGCTGGTGACACTCCAACTGGTACTGGTAGGCCACACATTCCTTTGTCACCTTGAATAACTTCTGCTTGACCAGCCTGATCTCTTCCCTCAGCCCATCTCTCTCCAGCTCTGCCTGTGCGTGCAGCTTGTAGGCAGCCAGGATGTCCTGATGGACTTGCTGTACCTCCTGCAGGGCTGGTTCTCGGAGCAGCGCCAGCTCATGGATGAGCTGATCCCGCTCCTCTTCCAGCTGGGCCACTGCTTGCACACACTGCTGGAAACGACCCTCTAGCAGTTCCAGGTCCTCAATGCTCAGGTTCTCCTCTGGGCTGGAGCTCTGCTCAGGTTTGAGGTTTTCCTCAGGGTTGGATTTTTCTTCCCTTGCAGTCATCTCTGCCTCACACACAATCTGCTCTGGGCTCAGGCTCTTTGCTAGATCCACAGGCTGTTCCACATTTGGCTTCACAGTCTCCTCATACTTCATCTCCCCTGGACACTCAGGCTTTTCCACAAATAGTGCCGCCTCTGGCTGCCCAGTCTCCTCAATATACAGTGTCTCCTGTGGATTCTCAGGCTCTTCCACATAAAGTGTCTCTTCAAAGTCACCTGTGTCCCCAAGGTAGAGAACGTCTTCCAGGTTCACAGTCCCCTCCAAAGATAGTGTAGCTTCTGGATTCAAAGTCTCAGCCTCATTCAGGGATTCAGAATTCTCCTCTTGAGGAGAAATGGCTTCTGCTCTTATTTTCCTGCGAGAAAAAAATGATTTAAAGTGAAAAAAATGTGAGCTTGGGATGTAACTGTGGTAGAGCACTTGTCTAGTAGTGGGGGCCGATGGTTCCATCTGCAGTAGAAAAAGACGAAAGAAAGAGGAAGAGGGGAGGAACAGGACACAGAGTGGGGAGAATCTCAGATCTCATGGATAGCTTGTTTGCTCCCTGTCCCCCTCCCACATTCAGGCCATCCTTTTGCTCCCCTATCTACACCCCCCCAAGACCTACTAGTAAAAGTCTGATGTTTAAGGTAGAAACTTCCTTGCAATTCTTACCTGCTGGACTTGATAACTCTCTTCTAGAAGCCAACAATTTGAACTTATTTTCCATTTAAATTCTTTAAACATTTAACCGACTTAGGAGCTGTGAGTGTTACTGAGTGTGAGAGTGCATGCTTAGCACAGGGCCACAGGTTCAATCCTCAGTACCATACGCAAAAGTAGCTAAATTATCTTACAATTATTCCATATATAACAAAGTTCCAGTGCCCTCCTCATTTGGTTCTCTCCTTTCTGACCAGGCTCTAATTATTACTTTGTTTTGTGTCTTTTAAGACGAGGTCTCTCAGCTTTGCACTCACTAACCCGAGCTGGCCTCAAACTGCCAGCCACTGTCCTGCCTCAGCCTTCCACATGCTGGCATTATAGGGATGTGCCACCATGCCTGGCTCCAGGAGATCATTTTAAACCATCAGGTACCCTGTCCTCCCACCTAAGAAGTCATCAGTCCCTGGTTTCCTTTTCTGTGTGTAAGAGTGGCCTGGATACCACAAAGTCTGCTTTACCAGTCCCCTTGACATCATGGGCCTCGCTCCATCCAGTACTTGCTCCAAAACTTTAAACCTAAAGTCCTCAACAATCGCCTAACCCTTTTGTGTTGCTTCGCCAGAGAGGAAGTGGTTTTTGTTATCTTCACCTGATAGGATTACCTCAGACTCAGTTGCCCCACATTTCATATTCCTGAGGCTTACGGCATGTGTACTCCACCCCCCCTTCTCCATCCTTTTTCAAGTCATCAGGTCTCCCTGCACCTCATCCCAGCCTTCTAATGGGCCTTCTCACCCCAGTCTATTCTCTACAGTACCAGTTAGCTAGCTACAACATGATGCTGCTCTCCTTCACAACTTCAAAGTCTTAAAGATGTGGCCCTTTTTTTAGCCTCAGCTCACATTACTCCTGCATCCCACTCGGTGCCTGACAGCCCAGAACATGTTAACTTTTCACACCTCCCACACTTCAGCCCACAGTGTCTGAAAGATCCAGCTGAGTAGTGCAGCTTCCCCAGTGCCACCTGCCTAGAGAACAGCCTTGTGCTACCTGGGAAGTTAGAGCTCCTAGCACGCAGAAGGCACACCTGCTCAGCCACCAGGCCCAGCTTGTTAGCAGAGTCCCTGCTTTCCCAGACCATGGCCCTCCCAACATTCCTGCCAAGCCCCCCACCTGGGGACAACATACCATGTTCAAGGCAGTACTCTTAAGCACTTTATTGTTTGGTGCTAGGATTGTAATGCAGAGCCTTTTGTACTACATCCCCAGCCTCTTTTTTTTTTTTTTTTGAGATAGGATCTTGCTAAATTGTCCAGGCTGGGCTCCAACTTGTAAACCTCCTGCCTTAGGCTCCCCAGAGTGCTGGGATTGATGGGATGTGCCACGATGCCCAACTTCTAAGCATTTCACATGAGTACTCATGTATACGGTCCTCATCCATTACACCACCCATTGTATAGATGAAGTGGGAGCACAAAAAACACAAGGTTCCAAAATTCGTGCACATGGTAGATAGAGCCTGGAAAAGGGTGCTCTCAGACAAAGGAAGACATAACAATGAAGCTCCGCACATCTTGGTCAAAACATCTTTCTAGCTGGGCGCGGTGGCGCGTGCCTGTAACCCCAGCACTCGGGAGGCTGAGGCAGGAGGATTGCTGTGAGTTCAAGACCAGCCTGAGCTACATAGTGAGTTCCAGGTTAGCTCAACTACATAGTGAGACCCTGTCTCAAAAAACAAAAAATCTTTCTAGGGCTAGATATTTATTTATTTATTTTTGGTACCAGGGACCAAACTTGGGTCTTTGCACTTGTAAGGCAGGCAGCAGAACCGTTGAGCTAAATACCCAGCCCTATTTTTTTAGTTTAGATAGGGCATTGCGGGCCAGGGATGTAGCTCAGCAGTTCCAGTGCCTGCCTCGCAAGCACAAGGAGCCAACTTTGATCCCTGGTACCAAAAAAAAAAACCCAAAACTAGATAGGGCATTGCTATGTAGTCCAGGCTGGCCTGGAACTCAGAAATCCTGTCTCAGCCTTCCCAGTGCTAGGATTACATGGTTTAGGGCTGGGGATTTAGATCAGAGGAGGAGTGATTGCCTTAGCAGGTATAAAGCGTTAGATTCGATCCCCAGCACTGCAATACATAACATACATACATACATACATACATACATACATACATACATACATACAAAAATCTATTTAACAAACCTTTATTCATCCTTCAAGTTCTGCTCAAACTCCATCTCCTCTATGATGTATTTCCCAAACAAGGCCCACCTGTGTCCTCTCTGAATGCCACTCATCTTTGTGCTTCTGCATTACCAACGTGCCCACCTCTCTGACAGTGAATGCTAAAGACAAATACAATTCTGCTCTGTATCCTAAGGGTGGGGCTCTTAGAAGGAAGGCAGGCCGAAACCAACTAAGCTCCAAGGAGGAAACTTGCCCAAGGTCAAGAGGCAAAACTGGAGGGAGAATCCAGGTCTCCTGAGTTCAGGCCATCCTGCCACCCCTCCCAGGGTGTCAGTTGCTGCCCTTACAGCGATACCTCTCTACTGCTGGGAAAGTAGATATTAGGCCAAAAGGGAGGGAGAGCAGGGAGCTCAGCTGCAGCCCCGGACCTCAGGCTTCCTTGGGCCCAGGGCAGCCTGCTTCTGCCACTCTGCCACCCCAGAAGACTCCAGCAGCTCCCTAACACCGTCCCAGGGCTGTGGCTGGGAACGTGTGTGACACAGCGCAGGCGAGCGTCTGTGTCTGATTCCTTGTATATGTGTATGTATACAACAGTACAGCAAATGCGCATGTAAGACGGAGTCCCCTAATGTGACCGTAGAGAGGTGTCAGGTGTGTATTTGTACCTCCACCTCTTGGTACAGCGGGAAGTCCAGGACCACAGCCTGATGTGGGGCAGAAATACTCCCCACTTGCCCCGGGCTCCTTCCCCACTACCCAGAGGTGACTGACAGGGTAGGGAGGTGGTGTGGGCCTGGCCTCCTGGCCCCAGCCCAGCCAGGGCTCCTTAATGGTCTGAAGCAGTAGACCCTCCCTGCCCCCCTCCTAGGCCAGGCAGGAGAGAACAAGATGCCTGAGCAGACTCTTAACTTCAAGCTGGCCCATGTCCAACCTTGCACCAAGTGCCTTCCTTGCAGCAAATTCGCAACTGGTTGGTCACCCCATCCTCGGCTGACATTTGGAGTGAGGAATAAAAGAAAACGAGCACATTCTCTGGTCAGATGGGCCAAGTGGATTTTTGAACACTTGATGGCCCGAAAGGGCTAATTCTCACGCGGTCCATGGAAGAGGACAGGGTATCATAAAAAGCCACCCACCGATCCACAGAGGAGTGTGACCCGGACCAGGGCTCCCCACCTCCCTTCCCTGAGCGACTCCACCCCGGGTCCAAACCCGGGCTGAACCATTGCCCCCAGCCAGGCGACAGGGGCGCAGGGAGGAACCCGCCCGGCACCCCCTCCCAAGAGGGGCGTCGCCGCGGGCCCTGGACTCTCTTACCTCGGGG